CAGGAAGTCTTTTAACCTTGCATTATCTTCTCCTCTCTCGATCCATCTTGTCTCCTTCCCTTATCGTCCTTGGTGCTTCTTTCTTCTCCTTCCATTGGCTGGGATGTAAAGACATTTTAACAAATGCCAAGTCAAGCGATGTCAGGGGAAGATGAGCGTGAGGAAGCATCTTTTTTCATCCTTCACTGCTGCTAACCTGCATACAAATGTGAAAAGTTGGGTACTTAAAGGGATAGTTTACCCAAAAATCACTATTCTGTGATCATATACACACCCTCATATCATTCCAGACAGCTAGATTTTCTTCTATGCAATTAGTGTTCAAGCTTCTTTTCCATACATTAAAAGTGGATAGATACTGAGGCTATCAAGTTCCAAATTTAAAAGCACAAAAATGGCAAAAACGACAGCCGGGAAATTTTTAGCAAATAATGACTTAAATTAAGGTCTGTTCCAAATAAATATTAAGGTATGATTTCCGATGGCTGGAATATAGCATATGAGTCATATAGACTACGGTACTTTGATGGTATGATTAGGTGAGTAAATGATGACGAAATGTAAATTCTTAGGTGAACACAAGTTCAGAACAACTTTTGAAAGGGACTGCTCCAGTAGTCAGGTAGCAGCCTGTATATTTTAGCTTCCTGTGTTCTGGACAGATCTTAATCCATTGCAAGGGGCTTCATCAATAAATCTTTGGCTGAGATTACAGGATAGCATGAAATATAGATATGCAGAGAAGAAGAAAGACTAAGGGGGAGAGAAGGGTATCACAAATGTGTCTTTCCTAAAGGAAACACTCTCTCACGTGCAGAATTCTCATCTTTAACTGTGTTTATTTATAGCCTCTATCTACAAACACATCTCGGATGTGACACTCACAGCATCTGCATTCAGAGCACTCTCACTGACCCAGATGCAGCATGAGTGCTCGCTGCCAGCAAAATCAAAGCCCTCACAATGCAGCCACAGTCTGATCTATTAGAAAAGAGCTAGCGATACTACAGAACCACGAGGTTGCCTTTCCATAATCTATTCTGCGGCATCTATTACATAAAAATAAGACAAAATGGGATGAAAAAGACAACTTGTCTTTTGCAAGATGGTTGAGATAAGGACAGCTCATTATCAGAGCTCAGCTGTGTGTGTCTCTTCGATAACATTGAAAGGTTTAGCTGAAGAGCTCCTTTTCATTAGTATATGTGTGTGGTGCAGTGCTGCAGGCTCTGGAGAGGATGTGAAGAAAGAAAATGCTGATGTTTTCTATTATTTATAAGCATTTCCCACATAATGTGTGTGTAGCCATGAATCTGGTCAGTTTTAACGCAATACAGTCCCATAGTGGCATGACAGGTGTATGCAATTTCTGCAATACCACCAAACAGTTTTGCTAAAATAACGGTTTCTAAAATCTTCCTCCATCTGTCATTGGTCAAAAAACTGGGGGCCCACCCCAAACTCACACAACTAGTTGAGCTATAAGTTGACATGTCGAAAGGCATGAAAATAAACCTTTTGTCGGTCATTCGGTTTCTAATTCTTGTAGCTTTGCCAGTGTAATCCCACCCACACTGAAGTCTCATTGGTCATCTTTGGGTCGTTCAGCATTTGTCTATACAAATTACTTGTCACTGAAAACTTGTCATGTCGTGCCTGGATAGGACATGGTGCACCACCATAAGAACTTAGACGACACATGCAACTTAGATAACTGCAGGAAGGCTGGTTGCACGAGTGATAGATTCAGTTGCACTGTCACAAACAACCCCAAGAAAGAAACCTATGAACTCTCTAGAGTGACTGCGGTGCGAATAAGCTGTGGATGCAGGGATGAGGGTGATTGGCTCTCAGCTTTAGTGTGATTACTATTAGACTGCTGATGGCTATTAGTATAATGATGATGGATGTCTTTTGAAGTTTCGCTTATTAGATACACAAACCAAGAGATTAAAGCGAGAGATAGAAGGACAGAGATATAGGACACAGCAAAAGGCTCTTAGTGACAGTTTTTAGTGGCTATTTTATGACACAGCAAACTGTGTGACAAAGACAAGTAGATGTGTTAATCATGCCTGATTCATTTGGCAGTATCCGTATGTGGGCTATTTGATCTCTTATGATATAGTTTTACTTCCTACTCGCACCAGTTTAAGTTTCTTTTTTCCTGTTCTAACTCTTTTTCTTTACGACTGTGCTAAATCTCTCCTCCTTGGTTCATCCAACCACTTATGCTGCCTTCAAGTCCTGCTGGGAAGTTCCTACTTATGGGTTCGGATGTCGTAATTTCTACATGATGTGCATTTAATTGATTTTGGTCGGAATAAACAGGTGGGCAATTTCATATTTTTTCTCTTTTTTACTTTCTTGCTATGGCTTGACACTTCATGTCACTAAAGTAAAAAAAAAAAAAAAGAAGATGAGCAAAATATTTAAATTAGATGTGTAACTGATGCTTTGTGTATAATTGCTTTGTGCTTTTATAATTTTCAAATTTTCTCACTGCCGCAGAAAATGGGAATAGTAGTTTGGCCTAAATAGTCTATTGCTTCATAAACAAGTTAAATGAATCAAACCTTTTGCTTTTCATCAACTCTATATGTTTATAAATTCCATACATTAATTTTTCAGAACTTTTGTCCTATGTAGGGTTGCAGAAATGCTGGATTCTATTCCATATTTGAGATTGGATGCTTTCGATAGTCCAGGGGTGTCCAAATCTGCTCCTGGTGGGCCAAATTCCAGCAGAATTTAACTTAGCCTTTAAGGGGTCATATGATGCGATTTCAATTTTTCCTTTCTCTTTGGAGTGTTACAAGCTCTTGGTGCATAAAGAAGATCTGCTCAAGACCGCCCACCTCCGCTCACTCTAACCTGCCGGCCTCCGCTCACTCTAGCCCGCCCGCCTACGCTCACTCTAGCCCGCCGGCCTCCGCTCACTCTAGCCCGGCGGCCTGCGCTCACTCTAGCCGCCGGCCTCTGCTCAGCGTGTGTGACGCTGTGTGTTTCGTTGTGAAAGCGAAACTACTTTGTTTGGTCTTCCAAAAGAGGACACGACTAGAAATCAGTGGTTAAGTTGTATTTACAACACTGTTCCAGAACAGTTCAACCCAAATATTCAGATGTGTGCAGCACATTTTATGGAGGACTGTTTCCTGATCCTGTGAGAGCAGACTACAATGCCGGCAATATGGTAAGGGGCGTAACATTTCCGTCACACGCTTGAGGTATTCGGCCAATCACAACGCACTGGATAGCTGGCCAATCACAGCACACCTCGCTTTTCAAACCGATGAGCTTTGTAAAAATCGACGCGTTTCAGAAAGGCGGAGCATAGAGGAGAAACAATAATGTACACTGTACAGTATGTGGAAAATAATGTGTATTTTGAAACTTAAACCGCATAAACACATTTCATTACACCAAATACACCAAATAATGTTCTTTTTTAGCAACATCATATGACCCCTTTAAATAAAAACCTCTAAACCAGCTAATCAAGGTCTTTAGTATCACTTGAAACTTCAAGGAAGGTGTGTTAGAGCTAAACTCCGCAGGACGGTAGCCTTCAAGGAGCAGGATTGGACACCTTTGGACTAACCAGTCCATTGCAGGGTTAACACTCTCACACATTCACACTTTTTGAATTGAGGAGAAAACCGGAGCACCCAGAGGAAATTCACTCCAACACGGAAAGTACACAAACTCCAGGACTCAAACAGGGGACCCCCAACCTCCAAGTCAGGTCTCAAAGAAAATCCCAATTTTTTTCTATTGGTAGCTTCAGCATTGTGGTGCCCTTCTTTTAAGTGTGATCAACCCTACGTGACTTGAAGGCAGCATCAAGGTAATTTGTCTAATAACCCCAAGAGAAGGCCTGGTTACATTATAAATGAATTCCTCTTGTGTAACTGACTGCGTCTGCATAAAACTATCAATGCATCAAAAGTGGCACATGCAGTATTCGCCTTTCTCAGCACAAAGTTTTGCAGGATTTACCATGACTATGATCTGATACTCCTGAATATGCAGTTTTCCGGTCTCAATTCATCAGGGATGATGTAAGCGCTCACAGCTGTTGCTGCTGCTGATCTGAGATCAGATCTATTGCTTGTTCTGTGAGGTATGTGGTAATGGAAGGGTAATACAACTCATGAGCTGTTACAAACTGTAGATAGATAAGCGTTTCACAGCCCTGTTCCTGGTGGCACATCAGTAGTGCACATTTTTGAACTCTTCCTAATCAAACACACCTGATTCAACCCATTAGCACATTAGTGGAAACTAATGTGGAAACTAAAAAATGGGTGGTTCAGATAAGGGAGACATATCGAATTGCTTTCTTTGCACACTTCTGGCTCAACCAGTTTCATTAGTTTGAGGTAGGACTTCCTGAGCAATGGTGGACAAGTTAACAGACTTATATTTTTGGCAGGCTATAAACTGGTTGAAAACTAATTGCATTGAACATTTGCATTGAAGGAGGCACTTGAGCAAATCTAGGGACCAGAATATCATGGAGACCTGCAAGTTTGTTTTTTTTAACTTTGGCCAGTAAGCAACCATCCGAACACCCAAGCAACTGCAAAACCACCACCCACACACAGCATCGTGCCTGCGAGTTTTACACTGGCAAACATCACTCACATTTTGTTCAGAAACTTTTGCAATTTCATTTGGTGTACAAAAATGACTCATAGCAGCTTTCAACAGAGTGTGCTTTGTGTGTGTGTGTGTATGTATGTGAATATAAACTGGGGGCTCGTCCGGGATTACTGGTACCTCTCTCCTCATTCTTCTCAGCTGTCAGACATGTTATAATTGAACAAAAGAAACCACCATGACTTTTTTTTTTTTTGCAGCTGATTTTTGTTTCCCAGTTTACGCTTTACAACTGCCATCTATCATATTGCTTGAGTACAGAAATGCATTCTGCTGTTGATAAAATCCATAGAACTTTTATTAATTGGACGACTCACAATGCCTGCTTTCTCTCTTAGGTACGTGTCTGGTGTTGGGCTGTATGATATATCCTGATGGCTGGGATGCTGATGAGGTGAAGAGGATGTGTGGAGAAGGGACGGACAAATACACCATTGGAGCATGCTCAGTGCGCTGGGCGTACATCCTGGCCATTATGGGCATCATGGACGCCCTTATTCTCTCTTTCCTGGCTTTTGTGCTGGGCAACAGGCAGGATGGACTCATGTCCGAGGAGCTGCTGGGAGACAGTAAGATTAACATTTTTTTTTCTGAAGGATTGTTATTCTGTGTCTTTGTCATGTCTAAATGTCATGTCTTACCATGGGAGATTGCAGATGTATCTCTGTCAACTTGAGTTACTGTCTTCATTTATGCAAATAAATAATTGAAAGAGTGTTGGACAATAAGAGGGTATACACAATTCATATATCCTGTTCAAAACAGTTGGGGCAGAGCAAAAAATACAAATAGAAAAACAACTTGATAGTTGGTACCTTTGACAAAAACACCATTTGGTTGTGGAATCTAAGTGTTATTGCTGTTGAAGTCTATGATATGCTACTTGCTATTGTTAGTCATTTACAAGTGATATAAGGGGAGGGACAATGTTATTTGTATAGGACAAATATTTGTATATATATTTGGACCATTTTTCAGTAACAGTATTTTGGTAAACTTCTAAGTGTACACTAGCATATTAGCCTCAAATTAGACATGGGGCCAACATTTGAGGGATTTGCATACTAAATTTGTGAATCTTACCAAATTAAGGTAACATGAGATGAATTAAGTTTTGAAATACTGAAAAAACAAAGAGGTGGTTAACAAGAAGTGTATAATCAAACTTTTCTCTGTGAAAGAATGCAGAAATGGCCTGGCTAGTTTTGTGTATTTCTGATACACAGACATTAAAGTTTTAAATTATAATCACAAAATGCATAATTTACATAAATTTAATTAATATAATAATTTTTAAATAAATAATAATTTTACATAAATTCCATTTCTCCCCATAAATGCTCTAACACATCAGTTTTCAACGCGCAGCTGTTGTACCATTCGGTCCAATTCATTCATTACTAGACAGAGCCTGCCAGCCAGAGGTGAGTGAAGACAGACCAGCTTGAGAAAATAAGACAAAGTGATGGTCATTAAGGACAGAATCAGATGATAGGGCTGTGAAAATAAATGAGATATGAGAAGGAGCGAGAAGAAGAGGAAAATAGCAAGTGAAGGAAAGATAGAAAGGTAGAATTTACCATGGACTGGGGTTAATTGAAGCGTGGGGCTCTGGACCCAGCCATGAATTACTAATGACTGTTTACACAGCTTGCTGTCAGCCCGTCCATATTAATCACAGGCACAGCATCAGCTGGAACCCATGCTGTGCTGAACAGCACACCTGGAGCGAAACACTATTTATGGATATGGACTATAAAATGCTTCATATAATGAAGGTAAATGAAGGAACAAACTCCACTTTCAGGAAGTCCTGGAAACCTGGACCATAAAACTATTATTTTATATAATGGTAATGAAGGGTCACTTGTAGGTGTGTTAAGGTTTGATATGAAAGCGATGAGTTGCAAATGGTGAGTAAGGATGTTTGTATAATGATGAATGAGCAATTCACTTCTTAATCCTGCAGAAACAGAATTGATGTCATATTTTGTGATGGCACATGATGGTGTTAGTGCCATCTAGTGGAGATTACTGGTTAGGTTTATCGCAACTGACAGTATGTAAGAAAAGGTCTATTTAAAGGAGAGATAACACACAGTTTCACCCAATCTAATGTTAATCTTGAGTACCTATAGAGTAGTACTGCATCCTTTATATCTCCAAAAAGTCTTTAGTTTTATCATATTTATAAAAGATACAGCTTTAAGATTCTCTCCGGAAAAAGCGAGGCGCGCCGTGGGCGGAGCTAAAGATTGACCAGCACTTGAGCTCTGACTGCCAACAAAATACAGACATTTGATGCAGTTTCACTTACCGTCTACAGTTCTGAATAATGACCGGGATCTTTTATAGCTCGACCGCTCCATCCTTCAGTATCAAACGATGTGCTAATCCAGCGTTGAACTGGGCCTTGCTTATAAAACGTTCGTCAACAAACATACTTGTGAAACTCTGTTGCTGCTCCGGAAAAACAAACTGCACACTCCACTGTTTACATAACGTTGGGTTCTTTAGGAAGCTGAACAAAGTTATCTTTCCCTTACAACCAAAAACACACTTCTTTGGAGACATTCTTCCCGTGCAGCGCTGCCGCCGGATGAAGCGCGTTGATGGGCGCGATCTCGCGCTTGCCCTGGTCGATGCGTGCGCGGGCGCGCTTTTCCGGGAGAAATGCCCATATAAGGAGTTCCACCCTCGGCTACGTCATGAAGAGCCACGATCGAAAAAACTCTCCGAAACTTGTACGAACCCGGAAGTAAGATTTTTAGCACAGAAATACTCCGTCATACGTCCAAATTGTTTTTTGAAATTTTGTCCATGCTTAGCATGAGAATCCGACTCTTTTATAACAGTGTAAACAACTCTGAATGCATGAAACAGCATTGTACTTTAATGTGTATTTATCAACTGTGACAGCTGTCAGTAGTTGATAAATATTTCTGCTGCATTTGAAAATTACTCTGTGTATTTAAGCTGCGATTTTTGCTTTAATTTTGATAGAATTTTCTTCTTTTTTCATCAACAGAGAGTGGAAATGCATAGACGCCAGATACACTCAGGTGAGTGAGTGTTGGTCAGTATGTATGAGTCTTTGTTACTTTAAAAAGACCATGAAATAGTTTGATACAATATTTTTTGCCTTCGTTGACGCATTTACTACTGAAACAGAGTTAGGCTCAGACATATTGAAGGTCTTGAGACATACTGAAGATCAATATTTAATATAGAAGCACTACTGTTCAAACGTTTGGGGTTAATATGATTATTTAAAAATGTCTTTGATCTTCAAAAGACCTTTTTGTGTTTGTGATAAAACAAATTACACAGTCGGACCTCAAATGTAAATTTTGAAGCTGCTTTTTTTATTATTAAAAACAATAATTTTAAATCCAAGTGAGCAGTTTCAAAATTTGCGGTATTAAACTTTCTGTGGAAGAAGATGAAAAAAAAAAGACGTTTTGTCCATAAAATGAAAGTCAGTTGGTCCAATGTTTTTTTTTTTTAGACCTCACTGACAACAACATTCTTCAAAATATCTTATTTTGTGTAGAAATAAAATGATGTTAGGAATTTTAAATTTTTGAGTGAATTTTCGAAATGATCTCTTCAAGGTTAGCTTCCTTGTGTAAACTTAAGTGTAATGCTGTGAATTTATACTAAAACATCACGTTAATCTGTTTTCAGGTGTTTCTGTCTCGTTCAAGGAAAATCATTATGTGAAATCACAATCCAGCTTTACTCATCACCCTGAGGGCAGGAAGCCTGACTGAAGCAGTTAAAGGATGCAAACAGGGTGAATGGAGTTGGGAACTCACTGCTTTTCTGTCCATATCCCTTCTTTTCACTTCACTCCCTGGAATTGCTTCTCAACAAATCCCTACCGTACTTTAATTTACAGTGTTCTGTGCTACTAACATGATAGGGCAGCTAATGCACCGTTTAGAAGTAACTTGACTTGGATTAATAATAATAATAATATTTATTTATTTTACATTGTGTTCTCCTTTAAAGGCCTGCATTACAATAATGTTAATATTTTGGGATTTACGAATTACTGTAAAACACTGTTCTATTTGACTGGATTCTCCAATATAGAAGGAAACGTTTACAGGATTGAATTGTGGGATGTACATTCTGGCACAGAGCTGCACCACAGACATTATTGGCTTGTTATTATTTCTGTCACTACCACCCCTGGACAAAAAAAAAAAAAAAAAAAAGGCAGCAAAATGGGACACTGAATCCTGACCACTTAAATGAGAGCCAATTTAAAGGCAAGTGATCATTTATCGGGTTTCAAAATGTACAATTATTTCAACAACCCTATCCAACATTGTTTAAAAGGGGTATGTAAACAGAAGTTGAGAGTTCACTGTTAATATATTTTTTAAAAATAAGTGTCAAAATTAGGGGCAGACATCTCTGCCATTAGTAATTGTGCACAGGCCAAGTATATAAAGAAGTAGGAGAGTGTTTTAAGTATTATGTACTGAGTGTATATGTTGAATTTCTGTATGTCTCCAATTCGATATTTCCTTCTCGGCAATGTTGGTGCTGTATAGTTATGCGTGCCATAATTATGATGTTCTCAGCTGGTACCGTTTTGTACTCTTGGTATTATCATTCTGCCCCACCAAGACAAATGAACAGCCTAGGATCGCCAATCAAAAAGAAAAAATGTCACTGGAAAACCTGGAGGATGTGGTTTCAAAAAGCAAAAGCCCACAGGAAATGACCTCACTGTGTACCTTGTGCCACTCCCTCCGTTCTTGGACAACTGAAGAGTTTGGACAATGCTGGATGAAGTTCTGAAGGGAAAGAAAAAAATGTTTCGCTTTATTTATTGGGTGTCTGTCTTGTCTGATGGTGTTGTATGTAGAAAAAGATGTAAATGCACCATTAAAATGTATTAGTTATAAAAGTTCATTACAGACAATTCACCCACATTAATGAATAAAGATTTTACCTCTACCGACTAAAATCAAGGTATTTCATTTTTAGCATTGTTGTAAAGAACAGACATATTTATCTTATTACTTTACTTTTTTTTTTTTCACAGGCCAGCAGTGTCCAATCTTGCTCCTGGAGGGCCAATCCCCTTGTCCAAATACCTGCACTTGCGGTCTTTGCACTTGACTACTTACATGATGTATTTCCTGTATTTGGTCCAAGTGTTCAAGTGAACATGAAGACCACAAGCATGTATAGAACTTTTCATTACCTGATGGGACACACTATAGTGTTGCAACACTGTTTACAGAGCTTCATTTTTATTTTCAATACTTTGCATTTTAAAATCAACTTCTGAATGTCTAAATGTTCAGTAGTCTCTGTGTGGTGCTTCTAATTAAGTAATAAAATGCAGTTACAAATGTTGCACAAAATAATTATCACCACTACTCAACACTTTGTTTTACTACCAAATTATATGTAATATCTAACTATTATTAATATTTAACATACCTCTCACGAGATCTCGGCAAAAAGTCAAAACGATTTATTTCATGATGCATGGTGGGATACACTAAGCCTCGAATACCGCAGATAGTGTGGATTTATAATTTTTTCTTGAAGTTTTTAAGACCTGGGACAGTCTTGCGCACTTACTTCCTATCGCGCGCGCGATCTCAAGCGGCCAAGACTGTAAGTGTGGGTATTTGGACAAGGGGAATGTCCTGTAGAGTTTAACTCCAATACTAATTAAACACACCTGAACCAGCTAACCATGTTCTTCTGGATTACTAGAAACTTCCAGGCAAGTGTGTTTTTGGCTGGTTGTAACCAAAATCTGCTGGATGTTGACCTTCCTGGAGGACTGGACACCCGAGATCTCGGCAAAAAGTCAAAACGATTTATTTCATGATGCATGGTGCACTAAGCCTCGAATACTGCAGATAGTGTGGATTTATAATTTTTTCTTGAAGTTTTTAAGACCTGGGACAGTCTTGCGCACTTACTTCCTATCGCGCGCGCGATCTCAAGCGGCCAAGACTGTAAGTGTGGGTATTTGGACAAGGGGAATGTCCTGTAGAGTTTAACTCCAATACTAATTAAACACACCTGAACCAGCTAACCATGTTCTTCTGGATTACTAGAAACTTCCAGGCAAGTGTGTTTTTGGCTGGTTGTAACCAAAATCTGCTGGATGTTGACCTTCCTGGAGGACTGGACACCCCAGACCTGCACTAGGCAATACTGACCTGACAGCTGCTTCAGTCTTCAACATGGCAAACCTTAGCATGACAACAAAGTTGTGCATGATGTTATTGAGATACATACAAACATTGGCGGTTATAGCCAACTTTATTTATGCACCCCATGCTCATCTTTCTTCATCATAACATTTCTACCTTCATTCCGGTTGATTGTAACCTCTGGCTTGATGTTGTTTGGTCATGTAATCTTTCTTCCTTCATTCCGATTGGGTTTCTTAAGTCTGCTTTCATTCTGATCGGTCATAAAAACTCTTTTTTTCTTTCATTCTGTTCGATTTAAGCAAAAACAGTTTCTTTGAAGCATCTATCAGATATGAATGAGAAAAAACAACAACTAGGTTTATATTTTATATAATGACAATAATAGTGGTCAATAAACAGAAACCTTGAGATAGGTCACCGCAACAGCAGTCTCTTCAAACCTTCATTGCAGCACCTCTTCACACAGAGACCTTCACAGTGAAAGAAAAATTCACATTAGGAACATGTAAACATCAACCCCCCCCCCCAACTGTCATTACAGTGATTTATTATAATGAACCATGAAAATAGCCAACCAGTGCTGTGTCTTGTGAGCCTCTGTCCTTCACACACACATACACTCACACACAAACAGTAAAAAAAAACAAAAAAAAAACAAAGAGAGGAAGAAATAAAAATAGTGCTACAGTCACAGAAACATTCAGCGTTTTTGTCAAGAGCGCTTGTATTTACAACCATATTCCAAAATGGGGATGGGAGCGAATTATACAAGCATAGAAAAGAAAAGAAGCCAATATTTACAACTGTTTCTGGAGAAAGCTGGAGTAACCACCTATACATTAAATTACACTTTCTACAAATAACCATTGATATTCAAAAATAAACCGCTTACCCCTACAGGAAGGACCTCTCTTTCTAAAGCTGCCACAGAGAACAGCACACATCTGTCTGCGCCGTATTTGCTTTCAGTCTCTCATGCGCACTTCAAATATGCACACGGATGCGGGCGGCACGCAAGCATACACGCTCCCTTCCGCTTAAAAACACACACTCAATGCACACAGACTCACTCAATCACACAAGTGCAGTCTCCTGGGGCAGTGAAGCGGCCTATCAGAAAGGTCTCCTCTGAATTTCTGCAGCGGTGCACAGATATTTTTGTTACATGGAGGAATAAAAAAAAAAATAATTCTGTATTTTTTTTTCTCTATACAAAACCTTTTTGCTATATAATGAGCCACTAGATAAAACAAATAACTAATGAGTGAAAAAACAGTGAGAAACGGGAAGAACAGGGAAAGGTAAGGAGGAAACTGGAATGTCCCATTGCATTGCACTGCACTGGGAGGATAGAGGAAGGATTCAACGGGAAGAGACCGGAAAGGGCGATTAAAATGAATAAAAACATTAAAAGTAAAAAAAGACGTCTGGAAAAGACAGGATGGCAGTACAAGGTTATGGGAAGGAGAGAGGTGTGGGGGATTCTGGGTAAGTGATGAGCACCAGGGTTCATTAACCATCATCTTTTACACAAAGTCTACTGATACAGTTCTGTATTTCTCGTTTTTCTTTTTAAAATGTACCCTTTTCACCCACTGGTTTCCATTAGCCTTTGTGAAAAGGTACATAGAAAATATTTACAGTGGTGCTGTGTTGCCTATGTTACACAATGTAGCTCTGCCCCTCTCTGAGCAAGTTTGTCTAGGGGGCGGGTATTAAGTGGGTGTGGTCAGTGCCATCCTGTGCCCAAGTATCCGGTACTGTGAAAGGGGGCGGACGAAGGGGTAGGTCCTCGGTTACCACCAGCGATCTGTGAGACGCTCGGATTGGGTGGGGTCTGTGAGGGAGGAATTTGTTGGGGAGGTGGTGGTGGGGGGGGGGGGGGTACCGTTTGTTGATAAGTGGAAGGGGTTACTGAGGGGTTGGCTGGTGCAGACTGGTGAAGCAGAGTGGTTTGAAAGCCACCGATGTTCTGGAACGGGTGCGGTGCAGTACTAGAGGGAGCAGGGGGAGGGGGTGGAATGGGTGGGTGTGGTCCTTGTTT